ATGTAAATTTAAAATATATATAGATAATAGTACAGTAGTAAAGATAGTAAATGTTCCCATATTTCTTATATCTTAGTTATTTTTTTATAAATACCCACAGTATACTACAACATGATTTATTATTGTAAATACAATAGACCTACGCCTGTAGTAAATATAAACGAATATACTCTTATTATGATGAATTTACGACTCGCTTATTGTGTCTGGGTGTATAATGATGTAAGCTATAGAACAGCCAGAATCCCAAATCCCTGTCTTGTCCTATTTAGGAGGTTTCAAATAACATTATCTCCATCCGGCATGGAATATCAAGCTGTATCCAGGGCTTGTAACATTGGATTCAAGCCAAAACACAATGTCTGCACGCAGTTACATTTGCACTGAGGATCCAGTAATCTTTAGGGCTCAAGTTGCTGATACTTAAATATCAGTTAGGTTACAGTTCTATCTAGTCTATACACATTTTTGAACAGTCAAACACTACTGACGATGATTAAACCCTAACTTATAAATTGTGTTGTTAAATATATACTTAATATATGTACAATTGCCTCTTAATAATATACAACTTACAACTAACTGTATGCCACGGCATCGCTCACCTGAATCAGTATATAAAGTATTCTATGTGCTAAGTTAGTATATAAGCTACTTACGCACCAAATTTCATGTAAATCCTTTCAGTAGTTTTTGCGTGAAAGAGTAATAAACATTTATCCATCTACCTATTATTACAAACTTTCGCATTTATAAAATTAATAGGATTCAGTTACAAAATCTTAAATTGAAATATTTATATATTCACACAATAATTTTCGCAACAGCTTAATTGCATGATTAATGTTTTTTTATTGCATGATCAATGAAAAACATAGATACTATTGTTTTTAAAAATTGACTGATATTTTGACGTTGGTGTACTTTGTTATAAACACTCTTAATACACACATTATAAATATACTAATAAGAAATTATACATAGTATTACAATGTACAATCAACTACGAGAAACATATTTATCTTCTGAGAAATTTTTGTTGTATCAAATCACGGTTCAAGTTTGTATGAACACATGAACGAAAAGTAAATAGACCAACAAAACAAATAAATTAAAGAATAAATCGTTTAATATTAATTCATATCTGTAACGACTTAGGTACTTTATTTAAATAGCATACATGGCATATATTTGTGGTACAAACTATCTAACGTATCTAGATCAAAGAAAGAATTTAGCCTATATTGTCAATTAAAACTATTCTGAGTATATAAAATTATATACATAAAATTTTGTTGTCGTTGTCTAAGTTTTGGATAAATAATTCGAAATTCTATATTGTAGAGACGTTTTTAATCTATGTATAGGTACTTGATATATTTATAAGTGTAAATAACTTTTGAAAAGTTTTAACAAGATGAAAAGACTTGCGAACATTTTAAATAATTCTCCATTTTCGTTTATTCCAATAATTAAAGTACAGTCTCAAATTTTGAATAAAACTTTTTTCAATTATCTTTTTAATTAGCCTTGACCCAAAACCTCTATAATAGATTCTGAGTGATTTCCAGTCTCTCCAAATAACACCAAATCCAATCAATCCTACTTTACGATATACTACAATTTTTGTCTCAATTTCTATTTATCATCATCATCATCATCATCATATCAGCTTTTAACTGTCCACTGCTGAACATAGGCCTCCCCCTAGAGGGATTTTGCCAATGTTTGCCAGGTAAATTGCCAACTGCAGTTAGGCTTTGGAGACCTCTTAAAAGACTCACGGGAAAGGAAGGAGTAGCCTATTATATACCGGGACTACACGTGACTAACACATATTTTCTATTTATAGCAGACATAAATATTGAACCAGAGATATAATAGTTCGTCAACGGGTTTTGCTAATCTTAATCATAATACTGATGCTCTAACATCCGTTACAATTGATAGTCTTAAATGCAAGCATAAACTAGACGTGATTAACGCGTGGAAACTATTTATTTTTGACAATTAAACTTTATTATGTTCTTCTTAATAACTTATTATTCACTAAATTTCAATCGGCTCTTAAACTAAAAACACCATATATGTGAGGCAAAATAAATATGTGTAAATATATCTTAATATGTTAATAAAAAAGTAGTCGAGACTAATATTATTAATTAGTGGAAGTTCCTTCAATGCTTCGTTTTTTACTTTTTGGAATGTCTAGTCATTTCACTTTTAATTTATTTACTAAGTATTATTGAATAAGATATACAAAAAATCAAACCTTCGGTGTGATGTTGCGATCCACAGACGCGTTCAACCAACTGCTAAACTGTCATTATGAATTAGTCACTATTCTCGTACTATTTGTTTAACTTTAAATAAAGTTCGTAAGAAATTAAAAATCTTTATTTCAATATTCCTGGAATCAAATATAAATTGACAACTCAGAATTTAGAATGAATTAACTATTAAGAACTTCAGAGAATCCTTGTAGATATTCCTTTTTTATAAAAATGTACCTATTGATAACCCCGCCTGTGCGGGGGGGGGGTTGATAGTAATGCGGACTACTAGTCACATTGCTAGCAATATATCCTATCAGGTTGACCTTTACGTGGTTATCTCTGGAAACCATCGTGCTGAATTCCAGGTGTATTTATCACGATGGGTTGACTGACCTGCCTTTACATTCTCATCTATCATCATTCGCTGGCGAACAGCGTTTATCGTTAGCGCAGGCGGGGTTACCTCTGCATTGTTAACCGTTAAAAAACCCCTTGCCTGCGCTATAGATGAAGTTGATTCAGTTAGCACATCGTGACGAGTTCTCCGGAAATTATACACGATAATTTCCAAGGATACCGCGTAAATGAACATAGTAATGTTGTTAGTAAACAGCCCCTTCCCACCCCCTTTAACTATCTTAAAAATAATTACAATATTATATATATACCTATCTGAAGAAAAGCTGTAAGTTAAAAGTAATTTAGTCTAAAGTCCTTTATTTAGGAAGCAATATAAATTTCAACGTGCAGCTATTTGGTTTGTGGGAAGTCATTAATGACCCGTAGAATCGTTTTTATGATGTTTACTTTGATCAGAGAACAGCATCAGAACGTCTTTTATAGCGCAATAGCTCCAAATTCGACAGCAAATTGGATGCTCTTCGATACACCGAGAAAATCTCAAATACACCGTTACGGTTTCAACCGTTAAGGTAACTAACCATTGCCAATGAATTTTCTTTCCCGATAGAACTTTCAAGGAAGCTAGCATTCCAATTTAATAAGAATTTTTTATACCTACATTAATGGGATCAGTTTTGATTACAAACCTGATCGCATTAAAGTAGGTATAAAATAATAAACTAAAATATAAATACATACAAAACCTGACACCATTCAATATCTATGTATGTCTATTATTTGTGGATATTATAGTTCATTTTACCTAATTTATCATCTTACTTCTTATCTTACTAATACTTTTAATTGTAATAGACAATGAGGTCCATTCTGAGATACCAATTCTATAAATTGCCATTTAATCTAATATTATAATTTGATAATTTCACAAAATAACTATCTCATGAACCACCTTAAACTAAAATTGTACTAATTTTAACTTAAATGTATTAGAATATTAGTTCATATTGAACCTTAAAATTAAAATTTCGCTGTAATATCAAATGGAAATTTTAATTTTAGAATAGTTTTAAAGATAAAACGCTTTAGAATCGTCTTCAAAATCTGTACACGGGAGATATTTAAAACAAATTAATATGAGGGGTCTTAATAAAACCAATAAATGCTAAGATCATATTTTTTAGAAATTTTGTCTGTCTGACTGTATGTTTGTTCTGCCATCACTTAAAAACTACTACACCAAATTGGATTCCGTCTTTACAGTTGTGTTTCAGACTGTCTAATTTAAAAACTGGTGTATATTTTATTTCGATACGCTATGTAGAAGTTGTATATTTCGTTGATTTTCTTTCTTTGATACTTCCATTATCCACGCATACACGTATTAGCGGGTGAAAGCTAGTTCAGCAATATAAAAAGATTGTGATTTAATAATTGGGGACAAATTTGCTCGAATCCCTAATAACATTTATAGGTAACTAGTTTTCTTACAGAGTAACACTTATTACCTATTATCATAAATTATATAGGAAAGAACCTAAAGAAGGCACAAATAAAAGGCAAGCTTTTATGTTAACAAAGCAACTGCGCATACATATCCTAAAAGACAAGCAATAAAATTACTAAGCATAGCAGCCTAACATATTATAGTTTACAGATACTGGTGAGGCGTGATAAATATCGTGGAAAGATTATGAGTGTCACAATATATTCGGTGCTAGAGGTAAACTAATAGAAATTAGTTAGGTCGTTTGTTTATTTGCCATTGCAATTGTCTCAAAAAATATTCACACTTGTTGTCAAAAACAAAAAAAAATATGAGCATAAAATTTTAAACCATAAGCCTGCTGTATGCAAACTTAACGATTAGATTATTATCAATAGATCCTAAATTATACTTATTCCAATCCTATTAAAGTGGATGGAAATGAGGAAAAACTTTTAGTGTTGTCACAATACTTTCAAAATCACATTACGATGTTCATACAATTGGATACCCAGTACCAAATAGCGAAGTGTAACAACGTTTGCATATGAGAAATTATCAAAGAGAAAATAAATTTCATAAGTAATCAGTATGCAGTATAACGTAATCCTTATGAGTATTACGCCCCTTGTTTGTGCTTGAAAATCCATTATCTACTGTCTTTATAGAAAAAGGCCTCTGACATCTAGTGCCACTAGCGAATTATATCATCCCAAATTGAGAATGTGTGTGTCCATAATCAACATTCAGATATAATATTTGAAAATCGTGTGCCGAAAGGAAAGGAATGCCAAAAAATAATCGACATTATTTTTGACATTGTCATTTTTGACTTTCACATTGACATTTAAATGACACATAACCTTACAATCGAGTTGATGTTACAAAAATACTGATTTCAGAATTTCAGAAATAGTTGTTACAATTTTGCGTACTTTTACTTTATTCTGTTATCTCATATTTAGTTAAAAAAAATCATATTTTCTATGGAAGATACCAGTACGGATAGAAGACCGCAATTCGGTAACCGTTTCTTGGAAAATGTTGACGAAGTCTTCAAACATAACGCGTGGTATTGTAATCGCTATTATAATTAGAAATTATAATAAAAAACCTCAAAATATTATTACCGATATACAAAAATTAGAAGAAACTAGGCATAGGAAAAAACCAGTTGGTGGTTCACGATATTTGAAGAACAAGAACCATCTATATTTATTTAATGCTTGGTACTTGCAGACGCCTAAATGTAGATAAAAAATTAAATATTACAAATAATTGTAAAAATCTAAAAACGTAAACTATTGCAGGGATAATGTTGAATGGAATGCAGAACAAGAAGAAGCAGCCAAAGCAAAAGTGCAACAGAATTCAGAGGTGAAATTATCAGAAGAGCAATTAAAGTCATTAGAAGAAAATGCAGGTAAACATTGGGATGCATTTTATGACATACATCAAAATAGGTATGTACTATACAGCACATTCTATTTTATAATATAGATATAAAAATCAAAGTAAACAAACTATACTGTAAACATAATCTAAATTATATCAACTATTTACTAATTTTATTATGATCACTAATAAAAAAATAAATCTAAATAAGATTTGTTAAAACAATGAGCACAATCATTTATTATGCTTATTATGTGGTAATTAAATAACGATTAAGTTGATGTTTGATATTCATCAATCTAACATTCTTTTAATTAATCTATATTTTAAAAATATAAATGCTTTTCTATTTTTCAGATTCTTTAAAGACAGACACTGGTTATTTACCGAGTTTCCTGAATTAGCTCCAGATAACATATCAGCACCAGTTCGTATTTACCCAAACTGTAACACCCAAACAAATCACAATGATGCTCTAAATTTGTCAAATAAGAAACGATACATATTTGAAATTGGTTGTGGTGTTGGAAATACTATCTTCCCTATACTGCAGTACAGCAAAGACCCAAATTTATTCATCTATGGCTGTGATTTCTCTTCAAAAGCTGTCAATATTATGAAACAAAATGAGTTATATGACACTGAAAGATGTAATGTATTTGTATTGGATGCCACAACTGATTGGGATGTGCCTTTTGAAGAAAACTCTATAGATATTATTGTTCTAATATTTGTATTGTCTGCAATAGATCCTTCCAAGTAAGTATTTATATTTGTCTCATATTATACCAGAGGGAGACTTTGTACAAAAGTCGATTGCTTGGGTACCTCTGTCCCATTCGTGTTTCTACTGTGAAGCAGTTGTGTTTGCATGGCTGTGTTTCAGTTTGAAGGGTGGGATATGACGTGAATTTACAGGATACAAAGGAATAACACCTGAGTCCTCAGGAATGGCAACACATGGGGAGTATCATGGGCGAAGCAGTATACTCTGTTATGTCCATGGTACTGCTCGTGTCTATAGGCGACGGTTACCACTTTCCATCAGCTTGTTTGCCATTTAAGTTGTATAAAAAAAAATCATTCATATACATATTTTAAACTACAATAAAATAAACAAAAATATAAAATTTTTAAAATAATAAAATAAAAGCCATATTAATAATTTTCAATATTTAGAAAAATATCTTAAAAACATATTATACCACCATAAACAGATCAAAAATAATTTCATTAACATAACACTTAAAATTTTACAGAATGCCAACAGTCATCAGGAACATTTTTAAATACTTAAAACCTGGTGGTTTAGTAGTATTTCGTGATTATGGTCTTTATGACTTAGCTCAACTCAGATTCAAGAAAGGTCGCTGCATATCAGACAACTTTTATGCTCGTGGAGATAACACCAGAGTTTATTTCTTCACACAAGACGAAGTAGCAACTTTGTTTAAATCTGCTGGTTTTAGAGAAGAACAAAACTTAATAGATCGGAGACTACAAGTGAATAGAGGAAAAATGTTGAAAATGTACAGGGTATGGATACAAGGCAAATACAGAAAGCCATCATAATATGAATATTTTATTATTTACCTCATTAAAACACTAGCAACTTATTACACTTCACTTGCATTATTAATTAGGCTAATATGTAGGAAGTGTAATAAATAATTATAGCAATCTAAATTCCAACAATAGTTTTTGTGAAAGGAACTTTGTTTGAAATTTAAACTACTAACTGGAATTAAGTAAATAAAAATCCCATCCATATCTTGATAGATAGTATTCCAAAAATAATTAATGTTGTTTACTTTGCTTTTCTTTATATTAATTAATATTTGATGAATTTTATTTTAGATTATTGCAACAGTTTTTATATATTTTTGCAACAACTACTTGCCCTTATTTTTTATGTTGAATAATAATTATGTATTTATGAACATCTTGGTTTGCATTTATATTGATTTGAATTTGAATCTATATGGTTTTACAAATAAATTCATTACTTTAGTTTCAACTTCAATTGGTGGTCCTTCCCAGCCAACTTCCACTTTGTCTAGGAATTTTCTCAAAAATGTTTCGATTTCCATCTCGGCAATTCTACGTCCTATGCAAGATCTGATGCCGAATCCAAATGGCAATGTGATCATAGGATGCGCATTCCCATAATATAGGGGATGTGTTTTCTCCACCAACCACCTCTCTGGTATAAATTCTTTTGCTCTTGGATAATATTTGTCTAATTTAGATAAGAACTCGTTTGGAGCTATAACATCAATCTGAAATTAAAAAAACAATAAGAGGCCCTTTAAAAGTAGAACAATATGAAGATTAACTTTCCCTGAAAATGTATGACAAAACAGCATATTGTGATAATTAGATACCAAGCTTATTGAGAACAACAAAAGATTTACATATTCATAGTATGTATCAGTGGGGGAAAGGGATTGTTAGTAATGGAGACTAAGAATCCCATTGCTAGCAATATACCCAACCAGGTCGACCTCCTCGCGGTTCCCCCTGGAAACTATCATGATTAATTCCAGATGAATTCATCATGATAGGCTAACTGGCCTGTTTTCATTCTCATCTATCACCCTTCACTGGTGCCCCGCCAGCGTATCCCGTTAGCGCAGGCGGGGTTACCATTCTATTTTCATCCCATAAAAAAAAAAGTATGTATCAGTTTGTTATAATATCAAAGTATAGCATTAAATGAATTACATATAGGTATTATTTACAAAAAATGCTGAAACTTACCCCCTTAGGAATATGATACCCAGCTACTATATGGTCTTTCCCTGTTCTTCTTAAATTAGCTGGAATTACTGGATATATTCTCAAGGATTCTTTGATACACGCTCTTATGTATCGTTTTTGTGGCTCTGCTGATCGTGCCTCCTCGCGTGCTTTTTTCTGAACTTCTGGATTTATTGCTAAGTGATACAATACTCCTGTTGTACTGAAAGCCACCTAAGAAAATAATGTATTTTTGTTGCAACAGTTTACTAATTAATGTGTATATATACTACCTGAGCTACAGCACGCAACAATTAAAGATGAGGACTAATTATTGTCTAATAACATGGTATCTCAATTATTTTCTGCATACATCTTCTCATACACTTACCGTGTCTATTCCAGCCATTAACATTTCGTTTGCCATCATAAGAGCCACGTTTTCGTCTATTGATAAAAGTTTCTCAAGTATACTCTTGTCTTCTTCAGGTATATCATGTCCTCGCTCATTTATTTGTCGTTTTGCTTCATCAATATACATTTTACTAACACTGGGAATATAATTTATTTCATCAATTATAATATGTGAGAATCTTATAGTAAATTTTTTAAAAAAATATTGCATATATCATGAAAACAAACAATACATAGGCATTGATTCAAGTATCAGCTCAAGTACCCAAGTGTGCCTAAGTAAAAATAATCAAATTTCGAATATACCAATAAATAAAATTTTTTCTTTATACATTTTTTTTTCTTATTATTACCGCCTTAGAAGTGGAGGAAAAATGTACAAGCCGTTCTGTTTATGATAAAAATATGGGTTCAATATTACTTACTCCCATTGCAAGTCATAAGTTTTCACCAGCTTCTTGAAATTCTTGGTTGAATATTTCTGCCAAAGACTTGGGAAAAATTCTAACTTGTACGCCAGCTCCATCATGTCTCTAGCACATTGGATCAGTTGCCTCCCAGGATGGTCTTGTTTTAAGTTGTCTTCCATACAGCCAAGGCGATTTCCTAAACCCACTAATGCAATCGATTCCAATGCCCATTTAGTCATTTCAAGATCTAAATTCTTTTGTAGATAATCTCCTTTGCCGTTTAATTTTATTAACCTTTAAAATGTAATAAGTATTTGATTATTAACATCATTATGACGAATTTATTTTAAAAAAATAGATACAAACATCGTCTATAATTATATAAATGCGTCATATATATCATGCAAATATATGAATGTTAAAGATATCTATCTGACTTTGTAGTCAGATATTTCACATTTTTGTTATTAAAAATAAACTTAATATTTATTTATTTAAATATAAATTGCTCACTACACTTACAGCTTCTAAAACGTGTAATGACTTCTCTATCAATATACCATTATCAAAAACAATAATAAATATTAAAATAAGTTTATTGTATTTACCTGTCTACCATTTCTTTCGCTATTTCGTCAAGCGCCGGTGCATACAATTTCACCAGTTTAGGTTTCAATAGCGCAGGATTTACTTTCGTACGGAAATGACGCCATTTCTCATCTTGTCTATAAACAACAATTTACTTGTTTTATATGTTTATATTATTCAAGGTCATCTTTTATATTTAATGGAAGGATGCATTAACTTGGGTATTAGGAAATACCCAAAGAGTATAGTATTATAACTGGAAGTATTACCTACTAAACCAGACGTTTCGAATGCAAGGAATATAATTTTAATAATAAATTTTTAAGAATAAATTTTATATTAATTTCGAGTATATTTATTCTGATTTTTATTTTACTAAGGTAATAAGTTAATATGCCTACTATAAAGTATATAACTTATACTATATATAGGTACTTATTTAACTATTCACTTTCCTGTGACTTTTCCCCGTAAAATAAACACCATCTACAGGGCTTTTTCGTAAATGTTACAGCCAACTAACAAAATCCATAAACAAAGCAACTTATTACAATTAATTTTTATTGAATTTGGAATTCTTCTTTATAAGTGAGAGTGGAAATGAAAATCAGTTGCTTTCTTATCAATTGTGACGGCAACTCCATATCAAAAGGAGTTAGTTGAATCATTTCCAACCCATCTTTATAATTAATATCTGTGAAAACAGTTTCGTTCTGTATACCTGGGAAAGAATAAGACGTGGAACATCGGCACCTAGTTTTATATCATAAATATGGCAGCGATAACGTATCTATCGATAGAGGTATTTGTCGCTTGGCTAAGGAGGCTCCTGCTTCCTCTTTCTATCATACTAATAACATGAAACAGAAAATGAAACAGTAGTTCACTACGTCGCTACGCGCCACTGTAAACATACCGCACTTTCTAGACAGCCTCAACATAAAGAGAGATATCTAATAAAGATTGAAGACAATTATTTTTATTGAAATATTGTATAAATTTTAGAAACTTACGCTGTGGTCAATCCATAGACACCATTGTATGTTGATTTTCTTAAAACTGTTCTGTAGTACACCAGTGAATCAAATCCAGGTCGCAATGGATTGGTATCTTCCGCTCTGTAAACCTTAAATGTACCCTAAGTCTCAATAATATTATAACCCGACTTTACGTCGTTTAGATATCGTCCTATAGGACCTACACAAATCTATAGAATAGGTATACATAAGTATATTTTATACCTACTCTACCACAACTACCACTAGGAGGAAAAGGGATTGTTAGTAATAGAAACAAGCGGCCCCGTTACCAGCAATATATTCTATCAGGTAAACTTCAACGCAGTTCCTCCTGGATACCATCGTGGTTATTAATATTTTTGAACTTGTCACGACGGGCTAACGGACCTGTTTTCATCCTAACCTTTCATCTCTCACTGGTACCTCGCCAGCGTATACCAATTGCGCAGACGGGGTTACAATTCCATTTATCAACAATTAAAAAAGAAAATCTGTCACCACCGCTGTTCTATTTCGGCTTGTAAATTCGTTCTGTTACACATTGAATAAGTGAAAAAAATATTTAAATTAAGTATTTTATTAATTTAATCGTAAAAGACAATATTATTAGCTTTGCGTACCTGGTCAAAATGTTCAGGTTTATATAAAATAACCATATTAGCTCTAGCCAATATCCCCTCCATCTTTACTATCGACCCATATTTTTCATGTAAAACACCTAACATATTGAAAAAATTCTTTTGAATTCCGATAGTTCCTGTAAATAAAATTTTGAATTTTCACTGTGTGATATGGCCTTTAGCAAACTGCGATAATCGAAAATTAAACAAATGGATGCCACTATACATATTACACAGCGCCATCTAGTTCCAAACTAAATATAAATATGTATTTAGACATCGTTAAATTATAAATATAATAAACACAGTTTTGTTTTTATTTCTGCAAAAAGATATTTTACTAGTAATTAATAGGTTACAAACCTATAACCGGCAGGAAATGGTGTAAAGACCCCAGAACTGGTATAGAAGATAAACCTGGTATAGATTTAAAAGATTTCGGCTGTGAAGAACACGATCGTCGAAATTGAATTCTAAAAAGGTGTAAAATAAGTAAGTATTAAATTACTTCTAGCCTATATAAAATAGTTTGGCTAGTTACAGGTAAACATACAGGTATAGACTGTCGACGTTAACATGGCACGCCTCTCTAACTTTTTATTTCAATGTGTTTGTGTGTGTGTGTGTGTGTGTGAGACCATATTCAAACATGGCACCTTGTGTTTGTGAGGGAACTTCTTCAGTAGCACCCCAGTCATGGGCATATTCTATTCTTTCGTCGAAAATTTGTAAAATTTTTTCCCAGATATTTTTAATTATTTGGATTTTGCAGGGGCGTGCTATATTTAGTGCCAATCTATAGTTAAAAAGTAAATTTATATTCTTACCGGAAACTACATTTTAATTGTTTAACTCGTAACCATTTATTTGCCATTTTCAAACGTACCACACAACGTTTCAACTATATGGTATCTCTGTCACTATTTTATAAACGGGTACGATGTATTATTAGCTCATACAGTAATCTAAACGAATTGTATATCTTCAATTTTTTTAACCTTGAAATTAGTACCTGTCATATCTACCAAAGCAACATTTAGATATTTATTGATCATATTGCAATGGAATGTTTTTAATATTTGATGATATATTTTTATTAAATACCAGCATATCTAATAGTAAAAATTATGTAGTTACCTATTAAAAATAGTCGTTTAGGTAGTTTACTAGATCTTATATTCTTATTAGCAGAAGCTAGCAATAGTTATCTGTGGCACCAATACTTACTTGCAACAGTAACACTGTAAAACTTCTAGCATTTTGAAAAAAAAAACCTCCCCACAATGAAAATAAAGATCGACAACAAATATCGTGTAATTTTCTTACATTACAATTATTTACTGTTATAGGGACTGATCTGAAGCGCTATGTCTAAACTTATCTCTTAACCTAATATTTTAATTTGATAATTTCGCGAAATTACTGTTTATGTATGATCATAAACTAAAATTATAATAACTTTGACTTAAATACATTAGAAAATTAGGTTTTATTTGCCCTTTTAATAAAAATTTGGCTGTAATACAAAATTTTAATTTTAGAGATAGGGATAAAAGGGTTCTCAGAATCGACCCCAATTTAACCTATTTATAGTTCTGTAGTCTTTTCGATCTTTTGTATTGTGTTCTGATCTAAGAACAATGAAATACATAGGAGTAATAAAATTGTCAATTCATAGCAGCCTAGTTTATAGAAAATGTTATGGCCGTATAACCCTACCAAATTCAGACACAACCTGCTTGCATACTTTCTACATAGACCATGTCGAATATATAATCTAGTAATGTATAATTTGTCGTTAAGAAATATAAAGAATATAAGTATAAAAGTTCGAGTATATAGAAAATGTTTGATGTCAATTATGACATATCACACATTATCTAAATGTGCTATGAATTGAAAAAAACAAGCAATTGATGATGTATCTTCCATCCTCTTCTTAGTAATAATATTTGCATAAGAAGAAAGGAGACAACCATATAATTTTTAGTTTTATCATTCCTTGTTCTTAGGTGCTGATTCATATGTGGGCAGGCCAATTCTACAACAGTTTTATAAAAAAAAATGTATGAAATCTATGCAACTATCTTTAGGGAATATTAAGAGTTTAAAAAATTTTTATTCGATATCAACTCTTATTCCACATTATGTAAATTAACGTCCAACATGCCACTTCGCTTGTAAATATTTTTTGCAAAAAACTTATAAAAAAATATAAATGTCAAATTGAGATAAATTGCAAGGATTATATGAATATTCTTTTGGAAGTACATATTATATTAATATGTTCTTTTTAGATACTATTTATATCGATCTAAAACTTATAGCTGTTATTTAATGAGACAGAGATAATTACAGATCTACGAAAACATTGTATTGACATTATTTAATTTCAAATTGAACGTGAATGTATAATAAAAGTATAACTCAAGGTGCTTCAATTAAGAAATCTTAACCGAATGCATCTCATGCTGCACAATATGTACATACTTTAATTCAATAATGTCTTGCTGATAACGTTACTGTTAGGCGGTACGAAGTTTACCGGATCAGTTAGTAATAAAATGCGTTTAACTCATACTTAATTTCTTTTAAATACTTTTTATTATTTTAAAAAGACTTTTTTTTTTGTAGTTTTTGATGCCTTAGTCGCTCATGATATTTAAAAATTTTGAAATAGCAGTGCCGTCTCCTTTAATGTAGTAAGAAGTTACTTGTTTGATAGCAGGTTGAGTTAGGGGTGAGGTTAATGGACGACAAAAATAATAACCAATAAACCAATCGCCTATGTTATTATGTATAGACCTTCAACTTGTAATAGACTTTTAATCAATTAATATATTATTTTTTACAATTAAAATAATTTGTTAAAACATAACAAATAAAACATTGTAATGTCAGCAGTTTCTTTGTCACAAGAATAGCTTTCCTATAAATATCGATCGATTATGGAAAACCTTATAAATTTTGTTTTGTGATTCATGGATACGCGTTGTCATTTTATGTAAAACATAAATACTAACTGCGCTTGATAAACAATTCAAAATTTGTTTCAAATAAACCCTCGTTCTGTGAGTGTTAAATTTGCTAACGTGTTATCATGTGTTTATGTTCGTTTCTTACATACATACGATCAAAATTACCTATAACGCTGTAATGTCTTGAAGTAACTTTGAATTCACGCCTAAAATGAGATAGACTGTCCAGTCTCTGTGTTCTGTCTTTGATATCACGTCCATGTATTGTTGTTCTTTTCTGTGAGTATTTACAACATTTTACTTAATTTTTATTGCTTCATTGTTACAATACACCTATGCACATATTTTTTTTTTTATTAAACTAGAAATCTTATTTTCTAATATACCAATAAAATGTACTTATAATTTTAAATTTATTATAAATCAATCCTATTCTGAACTAGTCATCATTACTTATGTTAATTTATTTAGGAAAAGTACAGATACAGTAACAACTTTATAACATGAGTAGATGGTGTATATTTTTATAAAATGTAGAAAGGTAATGATGATGTAGAAAGCAAAACAGTCGAGCGATCTTAGCAGAAGTAATTTGATGTTTATGTTCAAATTTATTAAACTTGATCCTGCTTAAGTTGAAAATTCTACTAATCAACTGTATATAATTTATTTGCACATGAAGTCCCTCTCAAAAAGTTAGCTGCATACATGGCAACTTAGTTATAAATAGTGTGAAAAGCATGCACATGCAATGGAATGTTGTTTACTGCAAAATAATTGTATACAATGTGATGATGTCATTATCTCAGAAGGAATGGTCGCCACAATAATGATTATTTAAATTCTTCATTTAATAATATGAACATATTGTTTTTATTTCACTTCATTACTTTATTTTAAAGGAGTATAATTTTAAACAAAGAATTTATCTATAATGTGATGATGTCATTATCTTAGATGGTGTTATTGAAGTCCAGTCATCACATTAATCTCAATCTTGTTTATTTATGTTCTATAAAATTATAAATGACAGCCATGCTTACAACTTTAATTATAAATTAAAATCTAAACTGCTGTGCACTATCTAAGCTAGCATGCTTGAATTAAATTATATAATTGCAGTTAAATGCCAATGATATAATTTAGTATGATATTATAAATGCTAGCTAGCATACTAACTACAGCTAAAGAATTGATGACATAACCAGATCTAGTATTTTTAACACTGATTAAATATTAGAATGTTAGCATGGACCATTTATCCGCTGTCTCTATATATCTAGATTATTAAACAGGTAATTTAAATAAAAAGTTTTTTTGAAACTATCAGACTTGATTTTACTTATCATAAACATTCCATAAATAAATAAAAAAAATTATAAACCTTTATTTTTTATTTTTGGATAAACATTTTATATTTAGTAACTTCCTGAAATGTCTCTTTATATAAAAAAATTAACTTTTTCCTATGGCTTTGTTGGCATGTCATATAGGATTTGTTTTGAATGAAGAGCATAAATATAACATTTTACATGTCTTAGTTTAAGCTAATGAAATTCCATACAAACTTCAACCCCAGTTGGTTAAACTTTGAATATTCAAAATTCCTTACTGTTAATATTTGTATATAAAGAATTCATTTGCAAAATTTCAAAATTCTACATACAGCAGACTCATCTCAACATTAATAGGTATATTAGTCAGTAAGTCAGCCAGTCGGCATTCTCTTTTGTATATATGAATAAATATTTGTTAGCAGCTTAAAAGCAAAATAAATGAAAAAAAAATATTAATTGCACTAAAAATAAGTTTTTCAAAAATGCATGTATTTTCAAAACTTCCTCTTCAATTAAGTCAGGAGAAATTAGAAATAAGTTGACTGTAAGAATGTTACAACTTATTAGATTGCTAGCTACTTTAATGTAAATGTGAGAGCTTTTTACTTTATTAGTTAGAACTCATTAGAGGCTGCAATTGGATAATTTAATTCACTCATTAATAAAACTGATGTGCTAATATTTATATGCCTTATATATATATATATATATATATATATATATATATATATATTTCTTATTTATTACTTCAAAGCAATATAACTTTTAACAAAAAAGAATAATAATTTTCTATTTATATAAAATATGCTAATTCTAATCAATAATTCATTATATTAAACATACATGATTATAATGTTTGCCAAGTAAGACAATATGAAATGAACTTTAATAATGATACCAAAGATTTATTATAAAATAATATAGTGAATATATATACTGATCTGTAAGATTCTCGGTTGAGCTGGTATAGAAAATTTACTTTTCAAAACTTTTGTTTAAAGCTTTTACATTTGTTCTTATTATAGTTTCATAGAACACATAGTAATTTAGTTTCTCTATAGGAAAATTACAAACTAATTACTTATTTAATTATCATTATCATTGTAATCATTATGTTTCTAACCTTTACACATTGTTAATTAAGTACTGTTGATTATTTAATAATAAATATAAATAGAGAATATACCCAAAATTTATAATAAAAGATTCTAATGTGTTCTGAATATTGAGATTCAGTTAAAAATAAAGATTACAGAATTTTTGATGTATCAAATTAAACCAAAAACAACTAAAACATATATTATTGTCAATGTTACAATTATTACTAATAATAATTGTAATTATTAGCATATGTAATAAATTAATTCTTTTCTTAAAATTTTATTTTTATTTTTCTATCCGTCTTGTTAGTATGTAGACCCTTGTTATTAATATTAGTATTTTTCTTTTCTATTCCCTAAAATAATTATGATGATGATAAATACAATAATATAAATATTATGTATGTCTTTAGGTACATTATATTTATAGTGTTTATCATTTACTAAGAATCATATAGCTGTTTTCCTCTTGTAAAATAGATTAATAAATAATAATGTAGACTTAACAGGAACTAAAATATGTTTAATGAAATATGTTCTACTATTGTACACAAACAGTTCACGGCTGGGCGTCGGGATGGCGAGCATGAGTTCCACGCTCGTCGAGACCGTCTCCATCAACTATGAGGACTTTAATGAGAGCTTCCTCACCTGCGGCACATGTTTATGTTAGTACACTACAATTTTATTTACTTATCAACATCACACATGCACATATTTGGACCATTATTGCTTTTATGTTTTCTGTATATGAAATAATTAATTAAAAGTATAAGCATCTCTTAAACAAAATAACTGTACATAAAATGTACATAATAATGTTTTTTACTAGGTACTTATATATTACTGTATTTTTTTACTTTTTGCCGAATAAAATAATATTGTAAATACTGAATTTGATAAAAAACATTACAAAAAAATACTAATTACTTCCCCTAATATCTATAAAAAAACCCCAATTGAGATCCCCGTGTCATAAAAATATTACTTAGTAATTTATTACCCCAAGCTGCGTAGGTCCCGGTATAGAATAGGTCACACCTTTCTTTCCCTAAGGAAACTTAATGGTAGAGGAATGGGAAGCTTAAAACATCTCTAAAAGCCTAACTACGGTTGCCAACCCCTCTGCAAAGCGTGGCATCTACTGGCAAAACCCCCTTATGGAGGGTTGGCTATTCAGCAGTGGATAGTTAACGGCTGTTATAACAATTTATTACCCCTAAGTATTTTAAGTTTTGCCTACCATTTCGTTTTCTTGAATTTAAAAAAGGAATACTAATGAAATAAATAAACTAGATGACATCAAAATCAAACATACGTCACTCTTTTTAGTTAGATCTTTAGGAACACAACTGTAAAAACTGCATCCAATTGGACGCACTAGTTTTGCTTGATACTGCAATAAGCATAAATACAGACAGACAAAATTTCTGAAAAATCTTGCTTTAACTTCTATTGATCTTATTAAGATCCCTCATATTTTTGTTAAATATCTTTTATGTACAGAGTAGACTTGTCGTCTAGTTAAAATTTTATATTATTAAGATTATAATAAGTAGTAGTAGGATGGGATTACCAGAGGAAGGCTTTATACAAAAATTGGGCACCTCTGTCTCATTCGTGTTTCTACCGTAAAGTAGTTGTGTTTGCATAGCTGTATTTCGGTTTTAAGGGTGGGATATGGCAGTGAATTTACTGAGTACAGAGCAATAATACCGGAGTCCTTAGGAATGACAACGTATGGGGGGTACCATAGGCGAAACAGTATACTCTGTTATGTCCATGGTACTTATCTATAGGCAACGGTTACGGACTATCCATTAGGTGGGCCGTCAGCTTGTTTGCCATTCTAAGTTGCATAAAAAAATATTTGTTATGATCTATTTTTACAAAATTTATACATTCAGAACAAAAACAGAAAAAACTACTCTTGAAAAAAATATTATTAGCTTAAGATTGATCGATTTCATTATTTTATTATCAAAGGCTATTATTTCCGAACATGTTCACGGCATTATCATGTCATGCACGCCTACGGTTTTTTTCATGAAATTTACAAGCATTTGCATACGATTACATACATTTTGCTTCCTTATTTACAATAAAGAAGCAAAATGTATGTCTATGTATATAGTAAATTATATTATACGACCATATTAACTGTAGATAAATGATAATCGCATAATGAAGTCATTTTTCTTTCTAGCTTTAGAACTGTGGCAAACAAATTTGTTGATATGTTTTCGCTGACAATAAAAACGAAAAAAAAGTAATGTCTCTTTCATGCGTGTGGTAAAGTGTATCTTGTATCTACCGATATAAGGTAAATTAATTTACCTTATATTAGATATCCATATGTAATAATCCTCCCTTTTAATTCTTTATTTTTTTATACCACTGAGGTGGCAAACAAACATACAGCCCACCTGATGGTAAGCGGTTACCGTAGCCTATGAATATTTTATACTTTGTACAACATGTTAAAAAATATAAATACGTCTATTGTTTACAGGTACTTATGATGGTGGTGAACACACGCCAAAGCTTCTACCGTGTTCGCATACTGTTTGCTTGCATTGCCTTACACGTATAGCCGCTTCACAAACCCGAGACGCTGGAAGCTTTAGATGTCCGATATGTCGCGAACTAATTACGATACCTCGAGGCGGGGTGCCCGCACTGCCGCCGTCGTTCCTCGTCAATCAATTGCTCGACCTCATGGCTCGGCAACGTCGCGAAGTGATACCACAGTGTAGCTCGCACCCAGGAAGAGAATTGTTATTCTGTGAAACGTGTGACTGTGTGTTTTGCCGACACTGTGCCGATGGACCGCACAGCGACACCCCGTGTGATCATACCGTTGTACCATTTTCAATAGCTTTAAAGAGAATGTCCGAGATACTGTTGTATAGAGCGAATGAATGCCTCAGCAAACTTGGTTCCGCGAGGGAAGCTGTTGCTAGTGAATTGCGGAGGCTGGAAGCTGCCGCGACTGCGGCCGATGAAGCTATCGACAGACACTTCGCGGAGCTCAGAGCGGCGTTGGATAAACGTCATAGTGAACTTAAATCGGCTGCGGCAGCCGCCGCTGCTCATAAGCGAAAGTTGCTTGAAGAACAATTGAAGTTAATTGATGCGGAAAAATCAAAGGTAAAGTTTAATATTTGTATTGATTTCGAAATCACTACTTTGTCACAGTTTGATGAGTCTACTATCTCAATTTAAAATTTATACATTAAATAGTAATAATAATGGAATTAATTTGACCCATTCTGTTATTAGAAAAGCACGTCACGCTTTTACATATACATATTTTCAGAGCTAAACAATTTAAACGATGGTTTGATGTTTTTCGAAAATATATAATATTACCACTGAAAATTTAAAGCAGAAAAGACGTTCTTTTCAACGTTGTTTAAAATTGGTTGCATAATGGATTATTTTAATCGATACTTGTAAATAAATGGGTACTTACTAATATTCTAAAAACATAAATGTTTGTTTGCCACCCCTTCTTGTCATCTTAAAAGCTCAATCAATCATCAGAAAATTTTATATATACGTAGTAGGTATGGGGGATGAAGAAGGCCATAGACTGCTTTTTATTATGCTCAATCAATATGCGAACGAAGTTGCGTGTAGAAACTAATAGTTTACACTTGCTTTTTTTATTTACATTTATTTATATAAATGAAGACGACAGTGAGATCGACTATTTTATTGCTTTTCTTTCTCCAATCTACGTTTCTGTGGTCCAACTACGAGTTTAAGGAACTTTTAATAATTCAATATAATAATGGACGATGTCTGTGTTGTTTGCTTGTTGTGACTCATGTAATACCAGATTTAATATATCATATTTCAATATGCTTGATTAATTATAATCTATTGAAACTAATAACTAAATAATATGGTACATTTATTTTAAAAGAGTTTTTATCCGTAACTTATGTGATGAATGTGATCGGGTGTGTTCATTACCGGGATGAAAGCAACTATGTCCTCCATCCCATATCATAGAAGGTGTGCGGTGTGGACTGCCGTTCGGTGAGCGTGGACTGTAGGGGCGTTGGTTCAGGCTGGAGTGAAACACAGCGATTACTATTCTGAAGCCTCCGGTACCGTCTGAAGAGAGTATTTTTTCTTCTTGTCCTATTTCTTCTCGAGTGTAGTGCGTCGCTGCCCGGAAGCGAATGCCGCTCGAGAGAGAGAAGGGTTCATCCGCAACCCTTTACAGGGTTGCAGGTGCGGGCCTCGGGTGTGCACCCTTTACCCGGGCGGTCTGCACAGGCTGCCGCCTGTGTGTCATTAATTTTCGACCCGTGGGGTCGAGCCGACGCTATTGTAAATAGCGTCGGCTGAGGGAATAAAGTGTGGGGGAAGAAGGAGCATTATATACTGTGTCGTCGACCGTGCAGGGCCGGTTTAACCGTCGCCCTGCTTTGTGCCTGCTGTGCGCAGGAGATCCCGCGGCAATGCGCGTGTCGCGTCCGGTGGGCGCGCGTGGAGCGGGGCTAGGTCCCTCAAGTGCGGGTGGTGGCTGGCGTCCGCCCGGCTGAACATTGTACGTGCCAGCCGGCGGACGAACTCTTCCACCGAGGGGACCGCGAGATCTCGGGCAATTACGTCGTTACGTACGTAACGACCCGCGTCTGCGCACATACGCAGAACGCAGTTCTGTTGCGCCTGCATGCGCCGCCTCTGTGCGTCGGAGCACAGCGCGTACCATGCGGGGGAGGCATACGTCAGCTGCGAACGAATATAAGTCTTATATATGCCTATTTTCGTTCGCAGCGAGAGACTGGACTGTAGGACCGGTCGCAGCATGGCCCGCGCGGTCCTGGTCTGTGTGACCACGCGGTTAACCTGTGCTGTCATGTGCAGCGACCGGTCGATCTCTACCCCTAGGTAACGCACTGTGCGCTCCGAGATGGGTGACCCACGGAGTTGGAGAGGCGGCGGATGATGTGAGCGGCTTCGAGTCAGTAGCGCTACCGTTTTCCCCACATTAACGGAGGTGCGCCACTTATCGAGCCACTCTGGCAGGCGGTTCAACAGACGCTGCATTCTGCGTGCAGCGTAGTTGGCATTGGTCGACGACATGAAGTATGCACTGTCGTCGGCAAATAGAGCTAGGACGACATCGCTCTCTCCCTCGAGGAGCTCATCCCTCAAGGTGGGAATGTCGTCCGTGTACGTCGCGTATAGCGCTGGGGAAATGCAGCTGCCCTGCGGCACTCCGGCGGCGTTTCCAATTTGATGGAAAGTGGCCGGTCCGGAGTATACCGTTGTAGAGCTTAGTAATAAATACTAAAGCTCTACGGGGCAGCTGGGCGAGTGCAGGCGTGGGTATTTTGTCCGCTCCGGGCGCTTTGCGCCTAGGTAGGCGCTCGATGATGCGCCTTACCTCGCCGGGCGAAACGAATTTAATCTCCGTTAAGTCCGGCGTCGGAGCGGTGTGAAACTCGCCCACGCGACGTACAACGCGCTCATGGTGCTCGACGACAGTGCTGGGTGCGTCGGCGGCTACCGGATTGGCAGTGAACTGCCCCTCCAGGTGGTTGGCCAGGATTTCTGCCCGGTCAATGGCTGCGTAACGACGTCTGCCCGTTTCATCGAACAACGGACAGACGGGGGATCGTGCCTTAGTGAGCTGTCGGTTAAGGGCGTACAGGGTGAACTGGTGTTCACCCGCGTGGGAGATGACACCCTCCCACGAGGAGCCACGCCAGTCGCGGACTCCTTCCGACAGCTCCGCAGCGAGACAGTTAAGCTCACGCTTGACCCGTGGACAACGGGTGCGGGCCCATAGGCGGCGGAGTGCTCTTTTGCGCGACAACTTATCACTCAAGTGTGCCGGCAATTCGACTCGGCGGCGAGCTGCCGAGTGTATGGTAGTTGTGGCCGCCTCTAGGGCGCTTTGAATGCGCTCCTGTATATCGATAGAGGCGGCCTCTATTCCCTCAGGCGTGGAAAAGTCGCCGTCGAGAGGAATGTGCTGGAGGCTTGAGCGATAAGCCGTCCAGTTAGTACTCCGCCGCTCCGACCTGTGCGATGCGGTGATGACCGCACCTAGGTCAAGCGTGGCTAAAACTGGGAGGTGTTGTGTGTCCAAGTCGTACAACACCTCCATATTGACCGGGCAGAGCACTCTATGTACGAGTGCTATGTCCAGAACGTCTGGATAGTGTCTACGATTCGTGGGAATGTGTGTTGGGTGTGCGGGTCCCAACACTTCGTAGCCGTGACTATCTGCGTCACGGAGGAGTCTAGTACCCACAGGCGATGTCACCCGGCTTCCCCAAGTCGGGTGTTTGGCGTTAAGATCGCCCATGAGTAATGTGGGACTCCTACCGTCCAGTACGTTCCGGACATCGGAGGGGCAGAATTCTCTGACCGGGGGGCGATAGGCGGCATATACTCTCAGTTCCGCGCCGTCGATGTTAATGCTCACTCCAATGGAGCGCATGACGCGGAACTCGGGGAGCGCCAACTGCATGTGTACGATGTCGCGGCGGACCAGTACAGCGGTGCCACGGTATGCCGTACCGGCCGGGGACCGCTCGTCCCGTCTGTACACAAAGTAGTTGGGCACCCGCAACGTCTCCTTGGGAGCCAACTTGGTCTCCCCCAGGAGTATGATATGCACATCCTGGGTTTGAGCAAGGAGACGGAGGCCTTGTACCTTAGCCTTTAGCCCCCCGGGGTTCCAGTACAGGACGCGGAGAGAATTACTCCGCGACTCTGTACTGGCTAATTTTGGCCAATCCGGCGAGAGCCGCCGACTTTATGTCCTCACCGGCCGCTAGGGCCGTTAGGAGATCAGTAAGGAGCCCTATTATTAATGTTAGGGCTCCATTGTCTGTTATCGTAGGCAAATCGCGCGTCTGTTGTGAACGTAGTGGTTGGGAGGCCGTCTGGGCCGACCGCCACGGCGGTTTACTCGAGTAGCGTGGGGCGGCACTCAAAGACGGCCACGCCTCCTGTCGCTCGTTCACTACGTTTTGCGCCATCTGGCGGCGAGCGGACGAAACCGGTACTGAAGCGACTGTCGGTAATGCAGTCCCTCGCCGCGCAGATGTTTGGAACGGCTGAGTCGGGGGGGGAATAAGTCCCCGTTGTTCGAACGCGGCGCGGCCGCGGGTTTGCGTCGGCGGGGCGACCTCCTCAAACGGCGTCGATGTAACCGCGTTTTGCTCGCGGTTACGACGCCTCCTGCCGGCCCTGTTGCGCCTTTTGCGCTTGGGCGCCTCACCACGATTAGTGGGTGGGTTTGCCGGGGCCTAATATGGCCTAATATGGCGGGGCCTATAATGGAATTAATTTGACCCATTCTGTTATTAGAAAAGCACGTCACGCTTTTACATATACATATTTTCAGAGCTAAACAATTTAAACGATGGTTTGATGTTTTTCGAAAATATATAATATTACCACTGAAAATTTAAAGCAGAAAAGACGTTCTTTTCAACGTTGTTTAAAATTGGTTGCATAATGGATTATTTTAATCGATACTTGTAAATAAATGGGTACTTACTAATATTCTAAAAACATAAATGTTTGTTTGCCCCCCCTTCTTGTCATCTTAAAAGCTCAATCAATCATCAGAAAATTTTATATATACGTAGTAGGTATGGGGGATGAAGAAGGCCATAGACTGCTTTTTATTATGCTCAATCAATATGCGAACGAAGTTGCGTGTAGAAACTAATAGTTTACACTTGCTTTTTTTATTTACATTTATTTATATAAATGAAGACGACAGTGAGATCGACTATTTTATTGCTTTTCTTTCTCCAATCTACGTTTCTGTGGTCCAACTACGAGTTTAAGGAACTTTTAATAATTCAATATAATAATGGACGATGTCTGTGTTGTTTGCTTGTTGTGACTCATGTAATACCAGATTTAATATATCATATTTCAATATGCTTGATTAATTATAATCTATTGAAACTAATAACTAAATAATATGGTACATTTATTTTAAAAGAGTTTTTATCCGTAACTTATGTGATGAATGTGATCGGGTGTGTTCATTACCGGGATGAAAGCAACTATGTCCTCCATCCCATATCATAGAAGGTGTGCGGTGTGGACTGCCGTTCGGTGAGCGTGGACTGTAGGGGCGTTGGTTCAGGCTGGAGTGA